TTCATTTTAAGGAAGTGCCTCAAATCATCAGGGTAAGAGTTTCTGATGTGGAAATAGCTAATTTTTTTCAACCCATCTCTCTTTTCCTTCCATCAACACCCAGTAGGCCTTGCTGTGGGGAGCCCCGACAGAAACTATGACAGGGTCTCTGGTACCTTACACTTCACTGCTTATACTTACAAATGATTGCTCTCCTGGGCTAACCATACAACTCTAGTAGTGAGTGCATCTAACCATAGTGCCTGGCACGGAACTCAGCATTTGTTGAATTACCTTATGGGTCAGGCTTATAACACAGTGTTGCTCACCAGTTACAAAGACCCTACCAGATACGTAAGGCTGTTCCCATTTTACAAAGCAAGAAAACAGTCTCGGGGCGATTGTCTAAGGCCATAGGCCAGAACTTCCAGAGGTGGGTTTAAACCCAACCCATACGTCTCAGACTTCACTCCAGGCCATCCCGGGAGTCTTTAGGTTGCTGCCTGAACCAAATAAAATAAAAAAAGAGGGGGAAACCACCTTCCTGGGGGGCGAGGACCCCCGCTGACCTTGCCCAGAGGGCTTCCCTTGGTCCCTTCCTTTAAATTAGTGGCGGGCGGAGGGTGAGCTTTTCTGGAAACTCCCCCGCAGGGGGTTGTGCATTGGTGCTCGGCCAGCGTCGGGAGTCCAGCGCAAAGGGACGAGTGGCGCCTCTGAGGAGCTGTCGCGGATGGGGCTGCCCCGCCACCGCTAGGCCTCACAGAGGCCGCACCGGCTCTAGCTCCTGCCTCGCAGCCGAGGCCGAACCCCAGCACCCCGCGCGGGAAACTCGGGGTCCCGCCAAGCCGAAACACCACAGCTTGCTACCTCCCCAACCGGGTCGGGCCCACTGGGAAACACTCACCCGCGGGCCGAGAAGGCGCCCGCAGCTCCGGCTTCGCTTCCCTTTGTCCCGCGCTCGCCCCGCCCCTCGCGCCGGAGCTTCCGCGCTCGCACTTTCCACACGCTCCGGGAATTTTCTGCCGCCGCGGCCGGCTCTCCTCAGACGAACAGCCTTTCCAGTGAGCACGCGACAAGGCTGAGTGCGCCAAAGATTTTTTTTTTCAGGCTCCTAGGTTTCCTCAGAAGTCTTCCAATTTGGATCCTGTCCCAGCCGGGCGCCGATTCGTCACGGCGAAGAGGGCGGAGAAGGCTGGGCCGCGTTGCCGGCCCTGGTTCGCGGCCCGGCGGCAGGAACTGCGCAGACTGCGCACCCGGGCTTCACTGAGGCGGTGGGCGCCGCTGCGTGAGGCGGGCGTCCGGGGAAGGCTCGCCGGAGCCTCTCCCGGCAGAGGGCGGGACGCAGCTCCCGCACACCCCGCACCCTGGCGTTTCCCTTCGCTCTGATCCTCAGTACTCCGCTGATGGACGTATGAATGAATGGAGGATGGAGAATGTAGGCGGGAGGACCTGGGTCCCCGCGTTTAGGTCCTTGCTGGCGCCCAGCAGGGCTCCCTGTCTCCGCCTAAGCGAAAAGCAACACGGGAGTTTTGTAGTTTTCCAGATACTTCTAGAGGTTGAGTGATGGCGACGGGTTTCTGAGCCTAGGGTCCTCAGATGTCAGCTCACTCCTTCCAGCTCACATACCTGTGACAATTCACATCCCTTCCCAGGAGGGCCAATTCAGCTCAGCCTCGCTTGTCTTTAAATAGTCAGCTCAGTGTTTCTTTGCGATATCCTCCTGGAACTTTCCCAGGCTGGCCCTATGTCTGATAACCTCTGCATGGGATTGGCCCATCTGCAATCTTGGAAAGTCTTGAAAACAGAGTTTCAGACATCTGGACCGTACAATGTCATAATTACCAATGATTTCTAAGGGCTAGACTTGTAATTAGGTGTTCAATAAGTGTGCGTGGAGCCATCCTTCTGGACCATTCCGGGGCTTTTTTTTTTTTTTTTTTTTCAAATTACAAGTACTTTGGCGGACCTTACGAAGTAGAGAACACCTAGCTAATGTGGATCACATCACGGGGGAGGAAAATTGAGCAGACCATCTGTGGTTATGTAAGGACAATCTAGAGAAATAGGCTGAATGCTGGGACTGCCTGTTGGCCCTTATCCTGGTGGTGACAACAGGAAATGAGGTATCTAGAAGTCTGCAGAGCATAAGTGATAATACTGTCCAGTTCTTCCATTGCCCAGTATTTTCATACTCATGAGGTGAAATGAACAAAATGAGAGTGTATTGAAAGGAAAGACTAAAGTTTTTTTTTTTTTTAGATGAATGCACAGACAGCATAAGGGAATGTATCTGAAAATGGTTTTTAACACAAAAAGTAAAAAAAAAGCCGCGCAGTGGTGGCGCACGCCTTTAATCCCAGCACTTGGGAGGCAGAGGCAGGCGGATTTCTGAGTTCGAGAGTTCGAGGCCAGCCTGGTCTACAGAGTGAGTTCCAGGA